AGTGCTTACATCCCTAATCCGTTTAGTTCAGCCAAAGTGGCCATAACACAATTTAATACCCCGAATCGCTGGTTTATTTCAACAGTTAATTTTCCCCTTTTACCATTCTTACCCACTAAACTCGCTCATCAGATTTAACAAGCTGCTCTCAGCGCGGCACACAGGGCGTATGAGTGACATAATTGTAGCGAGCATAGCCGCATGAAATTTTTTAGTTAGACACTTGCGACACTTGAGCAGTTTTTATGCCGCACTTTGCCAAGCCAATCCAAGAGCTCAACTGCCTGGAAAAACAAACTAATTATGGCCGCGGGTGTCTTGGTCCTGGAGGAGGTGCCATAGACAGACCAAAGTCGCGGGGCGTTGAGTAAATTAAACCGTCGGGAAAATGAACCGAGAGAGAAAAGGTAAAGAAAATAGTCTGCAGGCAAGACTCTGAGGTGAGCTGAGGCAGTGCAAATGAAAATTACAACGACACGCATCATAAAAAACAAACCCAGAAGCGGGCTTAAGTCGGGGAAAAGCGAGCACAGGAAAACGCACCGGGGAGGAAAAGCGGCATCCGCAATTGACAGTGAAATGCTTTTTAAACGTTTTCCCTGATTCCAAGGCAAAGACTCTTCACCAAGGACCTTTGCTTTTCCTCATTTTTTTATCAATTTAATTTTCGCAGCATTGTTGCTCTCTATCTGCCCCTCATCTGTCACCAGTTCTTCACTCATTTTCCTTTTTTTTCTAACTGCCATTCATTCTCATTTGTTGCTGCAAGGCAATTGCCAATAAAAATTTAATTACCAAAATGAGCAATTACATTTCTTTAATTAAAGCTGTCAAAACATGAGGACGACAAACTGTTCTGGCTTGATGACTTATTTTTTCGCCTGTTCCTTGTTTTTCAGATACTTTCCTGCTCGAAGGCCACCTGTACGAGCAGCATTATGAACATTGGCAATGCGGCGGTGGAGGCTCGAAAACCTGATCTGATTTTGGAACACGCCAAGGACTTCCTGGAGCAGTATTTCACCTCGATAAAGCGGTGGGTTTATAAATTTCTTTATTTATTTGAGTTTATACTATTCTGTTTAGTTAGCTTTTATATTTAAAATTTATCTGTGTTTTACGTGGAATTCCCATCAGGTGACTTATTATATCTTCCATCTCTATTGTAGAACATCATCTACCGCCCACGAAACACGGTGGAAACAGGTGCGCCAGAGCATTGAGACTTCTGGACATTATCAGCTAACCGAAACCGAGCTAATTTATGGAGCCAAATTGGCCTGGCGCAATTCTTCACGTTGCATTGGCCGTATACAGTGGTCCAAGTTGCAGGTAAGTGATAAGAAAACTGATTTATGAAATATTTGATTAAAATATTCCAGAAAAAAATCTTTAATCTTTAACTTTTATTAGCCAAATTTACACATCTGTAATTTACCAGGATTGCAATGATTCATGACCTTTCGCATGCTAATCTCGAAATCAGCTTTCATCATCCACAAAATATGATAACAATTCATCAAGGCACATTAGGCTTAAATGTGAGCAATTCCCAAAAATGATATGGGTGAAACAAGCGCTGGAGTTGTCAGCCATATTTGTCAGAGCACAAATCACAGACAGATATATATGTGCCTCTGTCTGGGGCACATTACTCTAGATTTATGCGTGTTCCGAGCAAATGAAAAGAGAAAATGGAAAAGAGAATAAGCAAAGACAAAGCTAAAAAGCTGAAATTTGAAATGCAAATCCTAGTAAATTTTAATTTAACCGAAAAAGAAATTTCGCCCAAGGCGGAGATTTATTCACATGCACCCAAAAATATATACACTCATATACAAATTATAATGATCAGTAGTTGGCTGTGTGTCTCTCTTTGTGCGTGTGTGTGTGTGTGTGTGCTTAGTAATGTGTGAACTGATTTGCATTTCCGCCTGAATGATTTGCCTGTGTGTACGTCGAGGGCTTGAGAAGGCAAGCTGATTTCCAAAACAAGTGACACCAAAGTCACCTTCAATATGTCTCAAGCCAAGTCTCAAATTATATATCAGATGTATATATAAATGCATTTGCATCTGACTGTCATTTTCAGTAGCACATCTTCTCAGGGAATTTCTTTAATATGAAATACGATGCCTGAGATTGAATTTCAGATCAAAAACAACAGCGTATTAGCACAAAGCTTAACTTTCTCAGCTTTTACAAACAGATTTCATTAAATCTGGGCCAACATATGTAAACATATTGCCCTCTCTTGTATGCTTTCCCTATAAATATTTCCCATTATAATTTAATTTTCAACTCTGACTTTTCATTAAATTTTAAAAAGTTTTTCAAAGCTATCCGGCACCACTCAGGCAAGATAAAAAAGTGGAAAACTTTGCTTTAAATTAAATGAAGTATGTGTGGCATAAGCACTTAAAAAGGGTTCAGGATCGCTTTTACAAACTTAATTAGGAAACTCGTTTTGCGGAAAAACATAACAAAACCCAACATAGCAGAAAATCGAATGAGAAGGGCTTTGCTTAGCCAGAAATGAATTTCAGTTTCGAGTGGCTTAGACATAGAAATCCCATAAAGCCAAAATGTAAGGACTTCATCCTGGCCTAGACCCAAAAACAGGCAAAGCCACAAAAACAGGTGTGAAAAAAGACAATTGTAAGGGCCCAGATAGCAGAGAGGCGACAGTTAAACAGAAATATTGCAAAAAATTCATTCAAGCGAAATAACTGAAAAAGGGTTTCGGTGTATATGAACAAGTTGGGAACAACTCTCTTATGCGACCTCATGCCACAAACAAAACAAATATAGAAGTTACATAGAAATTTATGTCACATTTATCATACGCCCCGTTGCACGACGCAACAAAAACTGTTGAACAGCTTTAGGGCTTGGGGGCTGGCAGCTAAAATTCATGAAAAAAACAATTGTTTACACTTTTAGTTTTCTGTCTGCAAGTGCTGTTGGGTTTTTTTCTTCTTTTCTCTGCCAGCATTTGAATATTTTAGGTAATTTTCCCTCTGCGGAAGTCGCGTTTTCCCCCGCTGGCATGCATTTTATACATCCGAACATGTTCTCCTAAAGTGAAATGTGATTTTTGGTTGACAAGCTGATATCTCTATAATTTATATGTTGTATCTTGCAGGTCTTTGACTGTCGGTATGTGACAACTACAAGTGGCATGTTCGAAGCAATTTGCAACCACATTAAATATGCAACAAATAAAGGCAACCTGAGGTAATTGAATTTGTCTGTTCAGTGTTGGGGAAAATAAATATTAAGGAATTGTTTTTCTTTGAAAAAATATGTAAATATCAACACAGATTTTGCATAATAATCATAATAAATACACATCCAATTTCGCTAGAACCATTAACACACTCTTGCCAGAATGTAATTTCAGGTTTTTCTGTAGAGCTTAATTTTCAGCTTATGGTAATTAGGACTGCAATGGACTGCTAATCGTTTTAAGCTCTAAAATCGAAGCCCTACCTAATTTTTAATATTTTCCTATGCTCTTTGGCACACAAAATTTGAAAATTTGAAAATTTGCAATAATCTACTGGCTACGTGGCAGGCGTCAGTAGAATGTTTGTGGAAAGTGATTGGCAAATTATGTTTTTGCCCTGCTAATTGGCCGAATTGAAAGGGGTGAATGCAAAGAGGGCTGCTGCCAATTTGATTCTATGAATATTTCAAGCGCCAGCCTTTTCAACTCCCCAAAATTGATTCGGTTGGTGTTGCACTTTTGACTTTGTACGCACATTAGGACGTAAAACGCTTTTGGCGGTTTGCCAAAGTTTCGTTGAACTTTATCGAACTTCAATGTTTTGTACACACAAATTGTTTTGGCTTTTCCCTGGAAAATCAATTGATTTTCATCATTGCAGATCGGCCATTACGATATTTCCCCAACGCACAGATGCCAAGCATGATTATCGCATTTGGAATAATCAATTAATATCTTATGCCGGCTACAAGCAGGCTGATGGAAAAATCATTGGCGATCCCATGAATGTGGAGTTCACCGAGGTGAGTAATAGTGAAAACCATAAATCCTATCCAATTTGTACCTTTCAATGTATATTGGCTGTTTATTTGAATAAAAAATGAAATAGTCTCGAAAATATTCACACCGCGATCGAACAGACTCCATTTATTCACGTGGTTATGCGTAATCCAGCTATCAATTTACATATCATACATGCATAAATATATGTATGCTTTTTCCTCAGCCATCACAATATTTACACGCATCAATTGCTTTTGCCTTTAAATCGCTCTGCCCCGCCCTTTGACCTGCCTTCCCCGAAATCCCATGTGGCGACCTTTTTGTCGAACCAACAAGTTGGAAAAACCACCCAGAGCCCAGACGAAATCAACGACAATGGCAACGGTGGCAAGTTCGCTCTATAACTCGTTGTAATAAATCTCTTTTTAAATACGCAAAAACCGAACAAACAACAAAGCTGTCAATAAATACGAACACAAATACGGTAGCAGATGTTGCTGCTGCCAGTGAGTGGGTGGATGGAGCATGTGGTGTGGGCATGGGTTTCATATTCAGTTCAGTTCAGCCAAAGTTACCATACCCCCAATGATGTATTTGCATATAAAACCAAGCCCCAAAGTATCCCCATTTATTTTTACACATGTCACTTTTATGTTCACCACTGGCTGCCTGCCTACTAGCCAACTGGCCTGCTGGCCTTATGCTGATTTTCGATTCCGATTCACATTTGTTTAATGTCCAATCCCATCTCCATCCATCAGGTCTGCACCAAGCTGGGCTGGAAGAGCAAGGGCACCGAGTGGGACATACTACCCTTGGTGGTCTCGGCCAATGGCCACGATCCGGACTACTTTGATTACCCGCCCGAATTGATATTGGAAGTGCCGCTGACCCATCCCAAGTGAGTAGATATCTATGTATACTACTATTTTATAAGTCATGTGATATTAATCTAATAAAAACCCAATTTGTGCACTTCTTATATTAATATCAGTAAAACTATAAAGCGTTTTCAATTCTTTTATTACCAATAACTCAGTGATAAGAACATGTTGCTTCAAAGAAGAATATATTTAATCCTTCAGTTTCTTTTCCATTGTTTTTTATTTTCAAAGACACTTCATTAATAGTCCGCCACCCTGGCAAATCCAACCCTATTGTTGCCCTTGTCGAACACCGTGTAGAACTTGCCAATGAAGATATCTCCCAGAATCCAGAAAGAGATTTCCTCAACAGTGGTAAAGCCGGACATGCAGTAGGTTACACCATTCTCGGTTACCTTGACGATGTAGTCCCTGGGTCTCAGGGTGAAGACTTTGCCACCAATATTGAGGTTTACGTTGGGCAGGGTTGAAATACGGCCGCACCTAACGAACGCCTCGCCACTGCCATTATCAGTGGCGCCTATTTGGCGGTTGATCTTTCTGTAGGCTGCCTCAGGAACTACGATCAGGGAGGTTCCGGTATCAGCAATGGCCTGGCATCCATTGCAAAGGACAATACCGTTGGTCTTGATCGTATTCACCTTGAATTGCCAGTAAGCCTGGACCGATACGGGAACGTATGTGAGGCTTCCTGTGTAGAGGCTGGAGTCAATACCGCCCAAGATCAGTTCTCCACCGCGAACGGCGGTACCCTGACGCTTGAGGTAGAAAGAGATTACGGGCTCATCGAGCAGACCCTGGGAGATCATGTTGTCAAATGGCGGAGTCACTCCATCTACTGCGATGGCCTCATAGGCCAGTCCCATGATACCCGCAAACGGAGCTTCATCAAAGGTTGTTCCCGGCTCCTTGAGGGCCTCGCCGAATGTCTGATTCTCGATGCTAATGCCGGCAACAGTCACAGTATCGGTCGAGAGCTTTCCCGACAGACTGCCAGTTCCATATGTGATGGCGAACGATTCCCCATTTGCCACATAGGTGCTGGACTCTGCCGAGTTGTATTTGTTATGCCTCTGGCAAGCCGTGTTCGATTTGGGGCAACTGGAACTTGGCACCCACAAATTGGACGATCCTGTGTCGAATAGAATGTTGAACCTCTGCTTGGGGGTTCCGATTGCGATCACGCCATAGTACTCAGCATTCAGGGAGTTATGCAAGATCTCGGTGTTGCCCGATGAGCTGGAACTGGTGGAGGTGGTCAAGAAGGAGTACTTGGCCGCCAGCAGGGTCTTCTCTGCCTTTACATTTCCGTGGGTCTTGGTGAAGTTTTTATTCCACTGAAACTGCACGCGATTTAACTTGGCAGCGGAAAGACCAATGATCCCGATTAGCACCAAAGAAACTAAGAACTGCCTCATGTCTACGGTTGGAACTCGACTGTGACTAGAACTCAATCGGTCTGGAATTTAAATAACATCTGGCTGCCTAACCATATTTAACTGCCTACCTTAAGTTCATAAATATCGCTGGAAGTTTCCATTTCTGGAAATCGTTGACGTCCACCAGTTTATTTGGCACAGTTTGGTAGACACAAGCTCCGAACCGATACTAACTTTAGTGATTAACCAAATATTTGATTTTATTTAATTTTATTCAGCTGTTTTGACATGAGGTGTTTGACCAGAAAAGAACGTGGGTCTATCTTTCATTCTATCTGTTTCTATCTTATTTTTTCAATATACTTATGTAAAAAATCCAGAGTATTCAGCGCCGTAGCTATAGTAATCAAAACCATAGCTAGAGGGTAGCTTAACATAGCTGGTCTTAACCCTACTATCAGTAGAGTTTTTCCTTAGCTTAGCAAATCCAATTTTCTCATTGCCCACATCGAACACCGTGTATACCTTTCCTAGGAAAATATCTCCGAGAATCCATAGTAGGTTTCCCTGTAAATACGTAAAGCCGGATAAGCAGAGGGTTTTATTGTTATTGTCCTGGACTTGGTAGATGTAATCCTTTGGATTCAGAGAGTAGGTTGTGCCTCCAATATTCAGGAGAACCTTTGGCAGGTTGCAGAGTCTTTGGCAGTCCACAAAGGCCTCTCCTTCTCCATTATCCGAGGCATTGAGAAGTCTATTGATGGAATTGTAGGCCTTAAGAGGGACCACGATTAGTGAGGTGCCAGTATCTGCTATGGCCTGGCATCCATTGCAGAGCAGGTTGTCGTTGACTTTCACCGAGTTAACCGTAAACTGCCAATAGGCAGGCATTGAGACGGGAACATAGTTGATGCATCCCCTGTAGATACTCCGATCGACTCCTCCCCAGATGACTTCACCGCCAAACTCTGAGGTGCCTTCACGTCTGAGATAGACGGAGAACACTGGCCGTTGGATTAATCTTTGCTGGATGATATTGTCAAACGGCGTAGTCAGTCCACCAGAGAGAGATGCAAAGGCCATTCCAATAACGCCGTCAAAAATAGTATCCACAAAGGTTGTACCCGGCTCTTCGACGGCCTCTACAAAAGTCTGGTTTTTAATCACCATACCGACTATGTCCACAGTGTCCGTGGATAGGAATCCTGAGAAGCTGCCTGTGCCGTACTGAAGAGAAAAACCTCTTCCATCCGCCACGTAGGAACTAGAGGCACTTGAATTGTACTTATTGTGAACCTGACAGGCTTCGTTGGATGCCGCGCACTTTACACTAGGTACCCACAGATCGGAGGATCCAGTATCGAATAGAAGGTTGAAGCACTGCGGCGGAGTTCCGATACAGAGCCGAATGGTGTACTCCAGATTGAATCCGTTGGCCAGTATCTGCGTGGTTTGCGATGATTATTTGTCTGTCAGCGAGTACTTGGCAGCCAAAATGATCTTTTCTGCCTTCACATTGGCATGGGTCTTGTTCTGATTTATCTGCCGAACGATGGGAGTCCTCTTAAGTTGGCCCATTGAATTTTCAATGGCCATTAGGAAAAGTAGAGAAAGAATAATTGGTAGTGTCTCTTTCATGGTTGCGGGTTGAACTGTGACTTTTTGTGGAAGGAAGTAGCTTAAATACTCTTTTCGTTGGCAACTTTTGATAGAGTTTCGTAACTAGCCAGCAGTTATATGATCTTTTCTACCCCATTACGACGGTTTTGGAAACAGTAGATGAACAGAAGTATCAACAACAAAAAATACTATATGGCTAAGAACTATTTTACGTGACATCGTGACTTTTGAATGAAATCGGTTATATTGACCTATGCTTTCGAAGTTATAATTGTTTACTTATGCTTCCCATTCATATTACAAGGCAACAATCGGCTTAGAATACATGTTAATTCTCGACTTCGTAAACGCTTTTACAGAGCTTTATAAAAATCTTAAAAATTTTATATTTAAAATATGTTAAAATTCTATTATTTAAGAGTCCAAGGGAATTTAGAAACAGTAAGCCTTCCAATGCTCTTATCGTCGAAACAATGTCAAGCTTATGTCTGACAGACATCAGCTGGCTGGGTGATGGCATGTATAGCCAACGGATTTGCATCCACAATCGCGGCCTGTGGCCACTATTGGGGGACCAATATCAATCGAACTGGCCAAATAAAAAAGCACCCACTTTTCCGCTCCCGTTGCAGATTCGAATGGTTCTCGGAACTGGGTCTGCGTTGGTATGCCCTGCCAGCCGTTTCCAGCATGCTGTTCGATGTGGGCGGAATCCAGTTTACGGCCACCACATTCAGCGGTTGGTACATGTCGACGGAGATTGGTAGCCGGAATTTATGCGACACAAATCGCCGCAATATGTTGGAGGTAAGTTCGAATAAAAAGAGATATATATGTATAGTAATTTCAGTATTGATATCCGACCCATACCGTCATTGTCCTTGCATGATGTCCTTGATGTCTTTGTCGCTGTATCGCGATGTGGCGCTTATTTCATTATAAGGCCGCATAATGTGCAGAGCAGAGACCGGGGACTCTCGCCTTTATCATTCCTCGTGTCCTTGCATAAAGCTCCTTTTTTTTCTGGCCCAGCATTCTTTTTACCCAGCAGCAATGTGCCAAAGGGTGGGGGGTGTAAACTGGTTAACAGCACTTAAGAACGGCGGCTCTTTAACTTGCCAAGGGGAATTTTTAAAGACTTGCAGTTAAAGTACTTTCTCACGTGATATTTGCAACTAAATATAGCAGTATAGTGTAGTAAAAATATGATCGATCCCCCAGGCTAATTAGTTTTCAGCAGCACGGAAATGCCATTAGCTCTTCTCCGGAAATCAGACTTTATTTTATGACAGGTAAATGCATCCTTTAAAAGTAGAGCCTATGTGCACTCACAGTAGTTTTAAGTTAAATTTATTTTAGGGGAGTACTTGATACGAGTAATGTTAATAAGCGTTTTGTTCAAAGTTAAAGAGTTAATAGTCGTAGCTAGCTCAGTGCATAGCTTATGGTGTGAGATACGAGTGCAATGGCAACCACTTCCCATTATATTTGTGGTATTTGTCATCATCAAAGTCAGTCGTTGGCCAGAGTTAGCCACTGTTTTGGCTCCACTCATGACATCCGATGGCCTGTGGCTAAATTCATAATTGACATACGGTGGTGGTGGCTTCTGACTGGTAAGAGGAAAGTGGAAACTGGTACGGGGCCTCCGGCCACTTGTTGGGCCTTGGCCGAGAGCTGCCACCGCAGTTGTTAGTAATTATTAAATTCTGGCCGCAAAACCGAAAACTGTAATCGAAAATCGACAACGTTATTCGATTAGAACGAATCACCCACTCATCCATTACCGATTAGGCACTAACAAAATTGATTTTTAACTCGACACAGACGGTGGCACTGAAAATGAATTTGGACACCCGTACACCCACGTCCCTGTGGAAGGATAAGGCCGTCGTGGAGATGAACATCGCCGTGCTGCACTCGTACCAGAGTCGCAACGTGACCATTGTGGATCACCATACGGCCAGTGAGAGTTTCATGAAGCATTTCGAGAACGAGTCCAAACTCAGGTGAGAGAGCCCAAGCCCAGATCGGCGATTATATCCTCTGTGTTTGTTTATGGCCGGGTTGAGTTTGCATTTATGACATTTCCCAGCCGCATGTTTATGGCTTAACGTGTTTTATTTGACTTGGCAAACGTGGGGAAAAGCGTGCGGAAAACTCTTTGCAGGTGCGAAAGTAAATTTATTGTTTCCAATTTGCTGTCGCCAGCGTTTATGTAAAGTGCACGCGAGACACATAAATGCCGCACAATATGTCAAACTGTTCCACCTCCCTCCAAGGGGGAAACTGTGGAAGTTACTTTTGTCGGAGGAGTCCAAAATAAATAAACCATTTTTCTTATTTTATTTGCAAAATGGTGGCACGAGCTGTTTGCTTTGGGTGGGTTAAAGAGATTTGTAGGTTGAACTATTACGAATTTGATCTCTTTATTGCAAATTTATGTTTTTGTTAGTAATCCGATGTCCAATTATAAAAAGCATGCAGATAGAATGTAAACTCGTGTTAATTCTGTTGACTTTAAATCAAACAATAGGTAAAGTATTTTATTACTCAATGCAATTATGTAATCACTGTCCAATTAGAAAGAACATGAAATGAATACTAGTTAAGTTTAACTTCATTATTTCTGACAACAAAAGCGCAAATAGTTTGTTTGAATGTCAAGTTTATGTTTACCAAGTTCATAAGTATTTGTGAATGAAATTTAAGTTTAAAATTCCAAAAACCCGCAAACTCTGTTAAAATATAAACTCTCCTAAACCTTAACCTTAACCTACTTTTCCTCGAAATACTTCAAATTGTTTATTTTTAAAACCCAAACCACCTTAAACTATAAAATACTAAATCAAAACCATAAGCCAGGTATCTATTTTTATGGCAACATCAGGACAGGGCAGCCACAATTAAGTCAGTTAATGGTAATCTCCCGTTTGGGGCACTAAAAATACAGTAGCCATATTTCAAATGCCGGGCAACTGGAATCCAAAGGACTCCACCACCACCACCACCCACTCGTCAATTATAGGCAATTACTTATTGTTGGGGGAATTCGCCTGTGTTTCTCTGCAGGAATGGCTGCCCCGCTGATTGGATTTGGATCGTGCCGCCTCTGTCGGGCTCCATCACGCCGGTGTTCCACCAGGAGATGGCCCTGTACTACCTGAAGCCATCGTTCGAATACCAGGATCCCGCCTGGCGCACTCACGTCTGGAAGAAGGGGCGTGGCGAGAGCAAGGGCAAGAAGCCAAGACGTAAATTCAATTTTAAACAAATCGCTAGGTAAGTACTTACAGCAGCGCTTACCGTTAACGTGGCGACCTTTGGCGGCATGCCCCAAACAACCCAACATCCCATCCTTCTTACCCTTCTTCCCGCCCCTTTCGGATGATGATGATGTTGATACTCGCATCCTTGCCGGTGTAATTGTACCCGTGTGCGGCGGCTTGGTGTTCGGTCGTTTTGCGAGCGTGTCACACGACAGCATCAGCAGGGATTAGCTTTTAAGTAGATTACATGGATTGTGGTTTATTGCCACGGGGGCTGCTCCTCTGCTGTTCCTCTGCTGCTCCATCTGCTCCACTGTTATCAAGTCGCCCGGAAAATTTTGTACATTGCATCATGTCTGTTGTCCCCGTTATTGTTATTTTAAATGCTATTTGCCGGGATACTGCCACGCTGCTATCTGGAATCTCCCCTAGATTTAGGTGGAGGATTGGGGAACATATGTGCCGTTGAAGTTGATTGTTATGCAAATTTCACGTCCCTATTTTATTCGAAGTGAAATTTGAGACATTGATAAGTTAGTTTCCGGTTGCACGGACAGAGCTTTTCAAAAGAGAGAGCTATTTAGTTTGCGGAAGTTTAAAGTCTTAAGCTTGCTCTTGCCTTAATTTATGTTATTGATTGAAATATTTGACTATTTTAACTTTTTGTGCTTAACAAATATAAATATTTATTTTTCTTTATTTCTCCCAGAAGCCATAAAACATCAGCTTTTTTGTACTCCAGTTCGCTTAATTAATTCACCATTCGAGCTGAGAACAAATGCGTTAACGAAGCAAAAACTATCAGTTTCCATAAGCCCATGCAAATGTATGGCAATTACCCGCCTAGTACTGGCTGAATTGCCTTTAATCCTTACACCTATTCAGGCAACAATCCATTAATCGAATGCTCAAACAAACAACTGTGGTGAGCCCTAACAAATAAAATCAATTACACAATTAAGCAGGTGGAATAAAAAAAAAATGCAATCCGGGAAACTGCTGTTAAATAAAGCGTGAGAAATTATAATGATTATTTAACGACCGCACTTTAAATCGTTGCATATTAATAGCGTTGTCAACGCGCGGCGTATTTTTCATGCTAATTAATTTTAATTTACTGCAATCAGTCCATCGAAGCCATGGCCAAATGGCTGACTGAAATTCATTAAAAAGTTATCAATTAAAAATTGTTGCAATTGCACATGTACGAGTTTCCATTAAATCGAGCCCGCTTTTTGTCAATGTTTAAGTGATGTTGCCACTGCAAAATCATTCGTATTTACGTATTTATGAGGATATATATATATATAAAGTCGTTCTCACATATATCCCGGCAGGGATGACAGGCTGGCTGTAGACATAATTAAGTTTAATTGTTTCAGCACGCGCCGCGCCTCTTAGCTCTGATGAGATGAAATGGAATTAAATCAGTGCTGACATCGACAACTTTATGAAAATGAAATTATATTCATGCTAGCACAAAAGTGTGCAGCGTAATGCGTGTGGAAGCGGAGTGCAGGAGGAGCTGGTGGGGAAGTGCGCGGTCCTTCACGAGGTGCTGCAAAGTGGGAAGTGCCAGACATATTGAATTACATTTAAACTGCCTATAAGCATCCATTCGCCCTCTTATCCCGAAAAGTAGTTTCATGTCAGAAGCAGGCAGGAGGCAGCAGGCCCAGAGTCGAGAAAACAATGGCCAAAAGAAAAATAAATACGAATGCTGAAGAAGAAGGGAGTTTGAACTTTGGT